TTGTTGTGGAAGTGGTATGTGTGTCCTTAAAGAATTTGTTACTTGTTTTCTCCCCCCCCCCCCACATTGTGCCTGAATCCCTGCCTTGATATTATGAAAGTCACACATTCACTTCTTAGCTCAGAGATCAAGTATCTTCATTTAATTTTGTTGTGGTTTTCCTTAGTTCCTCAGTGCAAATGCTGGAATAGTTTAAGCTTAGTCCAAAACTGCCTTATTCCATGTCCAATTACTCACTAATTGGCCAATCAACACTGCAGTTTGAGCTGTTGACTGTTGGTTAAAAAGACTGCAAATAAATGAAATTTGCAACCATAACTTGGTTTTACAAGGGAGTGCTTGATGTAGTAACTTGTATGTGCAGATCTGCTTGCTAGTTTGGACCATCTGTCTCAGTTCTTTGCACATTTGAAGGCGCCGATTTCATTGCTTGTGTTCAGTGGCAGCACAGTGGAAGATGTGTTGCTTCTCAGGCAAGTTTGTCTTTCTATTTTGATCAATATGAATAACATACCATAGTGTTACAGTCTTTCCATTATGAGTACACCATGCTTGTAATGTCAGAGTGTAAGAATTGTAATTATTAACATTTGTATGTTATTTTTGTTTAGTATCACTGGTCTGAACTGCACTGAACAGGTTGATCTAGATAGAACAATCCAGACATGCATTTGGGAGGTCCTGGTTGGAATCTTGGCCAGAACACCAACTATCCTGACTGAAGTTTATCATGGTTTTGCTCAGTCCCTTCAGGCAAATGCTAGGATAGTCCCCAATTTTATCACAACCACTTCGAAATCCTTGTCAAGGCATCATTCATTCTACCATCCAGTACTATACGGTCAGGATGCTGAAGGTGTTGTTAAAACACTCCACAAAGAAAGAAAAACTGATACAAACAAAAGCTTATCATTTAAAATGGTTAGAATTGCACATGTCCTCAAGTTTATTATTTAAAATGGTTAGAATTGTACATGTTCTGCTACTTTTAATCTGTACAGACTCTTTACTCCCAGTCCCCTTTAATCGGGTCACTGTCAAAAGCTATACTGAAGAAGCTGGATTCTTCTGGGTCCTCAGGCCAAGCAATGGTCTAACATAATAAAATGAGTCATACTCTCTTTGTTTCATATTTCACTTTGTTTAGCATACTTCTACTAAAAAAGGAGCTTCAATAGTAATACAAGTGAGACATGAGGTTATATTGCCATGTAGTGAGTCTATGAGATGGGCACCGATGTTTCAAAGGAACGTGCCTCATCTGTCTTGAGGGTAAAAGAAAGAGGAGGTAGCAGTTCATCCAAAATTTGATATGTATCTACCAGAATGCATTTTTAGTTTGATTGTTTATAATTAAAATGTAATTCATTATTCTGTCCATAATTACCATGCCCATGTTCTTGTCTGTCTAAATGAAAAGTCTTATGGAATAATTAAATTGAATACAATCAGTAATATTTGACATTTTTTTGTGTCTGTTTCTTAAATTGGCAAAATTGTCTTCACCACTTTTGTATGTTAGCTGAAGTTGTATTGTACAATTTGGATGTCTTTTGAGTGTAGGAAGACTGACTACATCACTATAAGAACCTCTTGTGTGCTCTGCTATGTAGGTGCTTTGCTACAGTAACAGTAACTGTGTCTGCTGTGTTCTACTTATGAATGAATGTATGGACACTTTTGTATTTCATATTGCATATTGTAGCTGTACCATATGGTGGGTGTGAGAAATCTTTATTTATTGTCTAATTTTGTGGAATTCACCTGTCTATTAGAAATGTATTTTTGAATGTATACATGTGTTCCAACATAGTACTGGTGCTACTAATATGCTGCAAGGAACTTGACTGCAGTAGATCCTTATTAATCTGGATGTAAAATAATCTGGTGACTTATAATTCTGTCAGTGCTACAAGATAAAGCTGTCCCTGTACTTAACTAATTAAACACTATGCCATAGAGATGTGTGGGGGAGTTAATGTATAGATGCACATATGAGGACTGTAAGGGTTGGTGTGTTGACAGCAGCAGACATGTAGCCAAATGTAAGTTGGCAGCTTTCTTAAACCTGTGTGTCTGCTGAATGAAGTGTGTCACATATAACTCTGAAGACTTCTCTAAGTTTTTGTTTGTTTTCAATTTTTGGCTTATTGGTTTATTTTTTATTTCATTTTTGTTTGTTATCAGCTCTTAAACTTTCTAGTTCTGACACCACCTGTGGAAACACAAGTTTTGGAAGTATGTTGGATATAAACACAGTATTTTCTGAACCATGCTTGGAAATTATGGGAAATGGCTCTGAATGACTGTTAAGTGTTTATGTAGGCTAGTTTTAATAATATATTGTAATTATTAGTATTGTCTGGTTTTAACTTTGCTAATCTGGACTGTCACTTAATCCAGATTAGTATTTTTTATTTCCACTTCACAAATTTGGGATTATTGTCTAATCCAGAATAAAATTTATTTATTATCACTTTGCTAATTTGGATTATTGCTGAATGAAAATTCACATTTTTTTTATTCTGATAATCAGGATTGTTGCATAATTTAGATTTCTCTTTTTCACCCTATGTGGTCAAGGTTATTGGAGTTTTATTCTGTAAGACATATTGTTGTTCCTTCAGTAGGGAACCTTGTAGAAGAAAGTCTTGCATGTTCGAAATCCCCCCCATGATAATTTTGGTTCATAACATGTTGAAACTAGAACCCAGTAAGTTGGATTTTAGGTTCTCACAATTGTGCTTGCTGTTTGTATTTTGCTGGTTTTTTGTTTGACTTACTTTTTAATCCTGAAGATTGAGCTGGTATATTCCTCTGTTATGTTGGTGCATTTATACCAAACTACACAGCATTACAACCCAAAATAGTGTAAAAAGAAAGTAAAGCTATCCCTGTACCAGGCCATGAAGGCCCATAGGGTTGTGAGACGTTGAGGATCCCACACTATCTAGACAATCGGCTCGAAGATGGCCGTAAGGTTGACAGCCTTACGTGCTGGCTGCACTTTACTCCCCAGGAAAGTTATTTAATTAATTCTTGGTACTCATTTCTGTTAGAGGCTAAGTAAACCCCAGGGCCTTGTGCGGCTGGAAGGATCAAAATCTGATAGCTTCCTAATGAAGGCTTAATGAACTGTGTCAGTATCTGAAAGTGATAAACCCCAAAGGTGTTTGAGACACTAAGTATTAGAGCTTGAGGTGGAGATTGCAAGGTCAGTTACGTGTTTTATACCAGATTTGCATGAAATATTACATGTAGTGGGGGTACTAGACGTTAAATCGGTATGATGCTCCAACTAGAACAGTGTTGCTTCCACATATCTTCTACCATGAAAGACTGAAGCTTAGCAAGTAGTGGTAAAATTTGAAATGTGTGAATACTTCATATTGCTCATTTTGACTCCATTAGATTTTGGAATGAATGTAGTTAAGTTTTATTTTTCATGAGTGGAATGGAAAAATTGTAAGAAAAATGACATAATACATGATTATGCAGTTGAAAATATTGGTCATTTGTAGCAGATGTGGATCTCCTTGGTTCTCCCATACAGTAATTTCTTGATTTGTGTGGTACATGTGTTCCTGAAAAGCATTATGTAAATTAAAAGTGTATAAAATCAGGAGGTAATTTTCCATCAAAAATGGAGGGAGTTGCATGAAAACTCAGAAGGTTGTAGGTATTTGTGATGAAAGAGTTAGCTTAGTTTCTTTTAGTTCAGCTTTTATAATTTTGCTAAGTGAAAGCTAAAAATTAACACAATAAAGAGTGTTATACATATATTTTACTGAAACCAGCATTCTAACATATGATCTGGTTCCTAATCAATTTTTGTCCTTAATGGCATGAAGTCACATGCCATGCTGCCTGTTACTGATCATGTAATCATAAAGTGATAAGAAAAATGATGAAAATTAAGAAGTAGCATAAATTCTTGAATTGTGCTGGACTGCGATCACATAAATCAAATGCTTGTAAATCAAGAAATTACTTTCTTATAGTTTATGTTTGAATTTCACCTTTGGATGTGTCCAATTCCTGAGAACCTGTTGTAGATTTTCTGAATGCTTATTGCTGAATACCATGCTAATACCTTGTGCCTCACAATGACATTTTCATCATCCAGTGGCCTTGACATGCGTTTGATATAACATGGTACATACTTTTACCTGTGTTTGTCCCCACAGAGGATGTGACCCTCAGGAAAAACAAAGTACTGTAGTAATGCATATTTTCATTGTTACTCTGTGAGGACATGTTGTGAGTGAAATTCAACTAAACTGTTTTAATTTAAAGCAGATGGAAAAAGAACAGAGGAAAGCAATGTTGATAGGCTAGACAAAGGAATGTGGAAGAGAGGGAAGGATTTAAAAGGTACTTATTATTATAAAACAGTAGCGGATATTGTGGAACATTTTTTGTTTTGACAATTACTGAGGTTAAATATACTCTGACACTTTTTAACACTTGAATAACAAAAATTGGAAATCCCACTGGATGCCTGAAGCCATCTGTTTAGAATGTAGAAATGCAGGAAATGTTATTCTGGCAACACACCATTTTGTGGTAATAAGAGCTTACTCTAAGCATTGGCTGCACAGATGACTCAGCATTTACATCTCATATCACATACGCAGTTGAAGCTTTATTAGTCACTTCTAGCATTGATCGCATTTTCTTATGTTGGGACTTTATTGTACTAATGTGGGTATTCTTTTCATCGGATGGATGTTGATGATAATATCTGCCATATGAATGGTACCTCAGAATACTGTAGATTTGTTCCAAGGTCAGGTTACTGTTTGTAAATGAGAGATCTTGCTTTGGGAACTGGTGTAGGATATAAGAACACTGAATGGAAACAGTAGTTGTAAAGAGTTGGGTGGGGCTTAGTCCCATGGTACTGCAGCCTCAAATGGGCCTGTAGATTGGCATGGAACATTGGTAGAATCATAATTCAGAAGGACATACCAAAGTGCTCCAAGAGAAACCTGCTGCACTGCCACTTTATCCATGACAAATCCTACATTGACTACCCTGGGGTTTAACCTGAGCCTCTGTGGTAAGAAGTCACTGACTAACCTGAGCTGTGGTGTGGGTTTGTTATAAATTCAGGATTTGGCGGTATATGCAAGTGAAAAACTTTAGCTGAAAAGACGCCTTAAGGCATTCAGAACATTGAATGCTACATAGAATGGATAAAGTAAATTAACACACGTCTCGGTTTATTTATGTCTTCTTCACCATCTGTATCTCCACCCACAATGCAACTTATTTATTTTCTTCACCTTTTTCACTTTCATGACATATTTCAGCCATATATGGGCATCATTAGGCATTCTGTTGTCAAAAACTGTTCCACTGTGTGGTATGTCCCACTTCTATCACATATGAATGTGATTATGCCCCAAATTAAAATATTGGATTCTATTAAAATCAGTAAGTCTAGTTAAAATTTAGTTTAAATTTTTCAACATTTTGCTTTGTTTGGATTACTTGCACAGTGGCATGGGTGTTTGTGTGTATGTAGCTCTCAAAATATTGATGTAGTTATGTATGCCCCCTGCCTGTAGGCAGGCAAAGCAAAATATTGAAAAATTTAAACTAAACTTTTAACTAGACTTATTGATTTTAATAGAGTCCGTTATTTTAAATTAGGACATATTGCCTTCATGTGATAGAAGTGGGATAAACCACACAGTGAAGCAATTTTTGACAAAAGAACACCTGATGATGGCCATTACTGCTGAAACATGTTGTGAAAGTGAAAACAAGAAGGAGAAAATAAATAAGTTGCATTGTGGGTTGAGGTATACTTTGTGAAGAATATATTTATTCAACAGGATGGTTAAATACATTATTATTGACATCTTGGTTTTGTCATAACAATTTTATATGAAATTGTTGATAATAGACTACAGCAACTTATTTCTTATGTATTGTGCTAGCCTCCAGGTTGCAGTTGTGTCAGTTGTTGAGTTATGCAGCATAAGCTCAATAATCATTAATAAGTTATGAATATAGAATCTTAAAAAATATAAATTAATCAGGAAATTGCAGCATATAATTGAGAAGTTAATGTTGCAAATATTTCTTAGAGTAAACAACAAAGTGTTGAGTATTTTTAAAGTATTGTGCTACAGAGTTTATATATTATTTGAAATACAACTTCCCACATTTGTATGTGCAAGTACCACTGATTATGCCCAGAATGTTTGAAGATACAATTTATTTCCTTATGACACATTTTCTAGATTGTCAGAGAATAATAGTTACTTCCCACTACCACAGGAGAATATGTCTCGCATATGAGGACCAGTATTGCGCTTCTTTCCATTGGACATGACTTGGTTTGATGACCAACTATAGGAGGGGTTAAACACTATGGAAAGTTCTGGTTTCTTCTTGAGTATTTGACTGAATTACTTTTCACTTCATATTGAAAGGTCTTGAGATGTTCTTCAAGAACATGTCTTCTGCAATAAGGCACCCAGTGTCATCTCATTCTTACATTCATTCACCTCTTGAGTGAGGAACCTGATTTCAAAGAGATTAATCTTTTCTGAACACTATGAAAATACTTAAGGTAAAGCCCGTATTAAAATTAGGTTGTACATTTTGAAAGTGAATTTTATTCACATGCATCACATATCATTTATTCAACTTGGTCAGTAGTATACTTCACATGTATCATCTGAACTTATTGGAGACATTTGAAACTTTTGCCACTGAGAATTCATGTTGGGGGAACTTTCAGTGATGCCTGTAGCACATTTAGTTGGCATATACAAAGCAGCTCTTGTGGTTGCTCTGTCCTGAAGGGGTGACAACTGTGGCTCTGTGTAGAGTGAATTTCCAAACTCAAAAATTTGAGTGTATGATTCTTTCTCTCTGAATGGAGGTAGCTGTTCCATGGGAATGTTAATTGATGCAGCATCATTCCATCGCCTGGAAGTTTCATTTCCTTGTAACATTCCATTTATGCTTTCAGGTGTGCCATCTGAATCACAGGACATATTTGTATATCCTCCTTGGACCAAAGGCGGACAGCTGAATTTACTTTGTAGCTGTTCAGTGGGAAGGTTAAGTGATGCAACATCATTCCATCGTCTGGAAGTTTCATTTTCTTGTAACATTCCATTTATGCTTTCAGGTGTGCCATCTGAATCACAGGACATATTTGTATATCCTCCTTGGACCAAAGGCGGACAGCTGAATTTACTTTGTAGCTGTTCAGTGGGAAGGTTAACTAATGCAGCATCATTCCATCGCCTGGAAGTTTCATTTCTTTGTAACATTCCATTTATGCTTTCAGGGATGCCATCTGAATCACAGGACATATTTGTATATCCTCCTTGGACCAAAGGTGGACAGCTGAATTTATGTTGTATGTATGTTCTGTTACAATAATCAGTATGGTTTGGGTTATGTGTTTGTAAAGTTTGTGTGAAATTACTGAATGGAAGTATGTGTTTTGAGTTTTTATTGGTTATTATAACTGAGTCATGGTCTTGTGGTTTCTGTGTAAAATGTGAAAGTGTTAGTTTATTTTTGGCCCATAAATTAACAGACATTTTCTGAGATTCAGGCTGAAACTGAAACTGTGATGATGATAACATGTTTGTATCATACTGTTCGTTCGCTCCTGTTATGGATGAAGAGGACATAATTTCTTTCTTTGAAACATCTTTGAGTAACAGATTCAAAATGTGTTCATACTTCATGTTATTCCTAGTAATCCTGTGCCGATATCCATTTCCGTTGTCTAGAGAGCCATGACTTACAAAGTTGTTCCTGTCCAAATATTTGGTGGATGTAGTTACATTAGCCATGAAGTACTTATTATCCTTATTGTTATATATATTTTTAGCTTGGCATTCTCCATTGTCTTCATGGAATATGCCAACAAGAAAACTGTCAATGTCTTTGACAAGATCAAAATTAGGGACTGGATAATTCTTTGATTCAGAATCATCGTCAGTTTTCTCATTTTCTGTACTTCTGTCTTCTTCAACTTCAGGTCTGTTTTCACTGGTAAGAGAACCTTCAGAGACACGTGACTTGCATGATTTTTTCAGAACTGATGCTTCACTTTTTATTTGGGCAGTGATACTGAAATTAGCTTCTTCAGGGAGTGGTTGGATTTCTTTAACTCTTTTCATTACGTTATCTGAATCTGCTGCCCAAGTACCATCATCACACTGTGTGTTTTCCTTCCTGGACTCTGGCAGAATCCCACTGAAGGTTACATTCTCTTTTGTTAGGAAGGCTGAAGCTACTTCATTAGATGGTTCTTTCAGGTGATCACATTTAGTGGAGTGAAGGTCTGCAGGCCCAGTTGTGTCAGATTGAAGTGAGTTCATAAAAACTGGGTAGTAGTGCTTGGGCAGAGTTCTCTGAAATAATAATCTTTTTCTTTCTTTTGTATTTAGCGAATATGCATTTTGTTTTGCATTTGTGTGGGTGTGTTCTCTTTTGGCAGCTGCTGGATCAGCTAAATGTACTGAACTGTCACTCCTAATGGCAAGACCATGTCTCATATGTTCTTCCTGAAAATCAAGTTGTTTTGATTCTCCATCACTTGAAAGTCTGAGTGCATCATCCTGCTGGGTCACATCTTTGTTGGAAGTTGGTAGATTTGCTGGAAGCATTTCCGTTTTCAGATAATTCTTATGAATACTGAAGTGAGCATTAAGGGATGGGATTGATGGAGGCTTCATTACCATCTTATATTTAGAGGTCTTCCCATTCTGAAAATCACATTCATTTGTTGTTGATTCTTCAGAGTTATACTCTTCAGTGAGAAAATTGTTGTGGGAACTGGAACTGTTAGTTAATTGTGGATTAAAAATGACAGATTTTTCTGTTTCTAGATACTCCTCTCCTGATGGATTTAAAGTTATAGTCAGTCTTGATTCAAAATTTGTATTCATTTTTTTCTCGAAGTGTTTATCTTCTTGTATGGAGCCTTCACACAGCTCAGTATTTTCTTTGAATGGTGTGTAACTACATTCAGTTGATTTTGTTGTGGACGGATTAATTAGCTTAAAATCATTACATGACATATTATTCTGAGATAATTTTGTTAAGTGCAATGTAGAATTTGTCTCCTGAGTTGTGTGAACCTTGTATTCCAATCCTGTTTCAGCTGTCAGCAGTGCAGTGTGCTCTGTGGCAGCTGGCTGACATGGACCACCATCTTGCAGCATTGAAGTGTTATGTTGCTTCTGATCTGCACTGCATTTTATAATTCTGGATTGGTTCAACTGCATTTCTGGATCTTTACAAGTGTTGGTAGACCCATCTTGCAGCAGGGTTTTCAGTTGATTGACATCTGTAGATGTATGCCCCAGACTGGATGGCTTGTGCAAACTGTGTCGCTCTTCATCTGTTATTAGCTTTGGCTTGACATGTCTGGACTGTATTTCATGATTCAATTGTTGCATTAGAAGTCTGTCAGGATTGTGGAATTGAGGCATATCATTTTGTTCATCTTCCGGTTTTTTGAGCTGCTCCAGGAGCGGTAACAATTTTATTCTCTTTGCAGGAGTGTAAGCAGCCTTGTTAAGTGTGAGCATAGTTGGGGTCCCACTTGTATTGCCAAGTCTCTTCTCAGACATTTCTTTAATCTTGTCTACAATAGAAGACTTCGCCCGTTTCAGTGTTTGAGATGTGGACTGTTTAGAGGTTAGACTGCCTTTATTCGTCCCTTGTTTCTGTAGGTACTTTCCGATGGAATTCTTTGCTTCCAGAGGGATTGTTTGTGTTGGCTGTTGTAATTTTATACTAGAATGAACATCAAGACCAACCCATTGTTCACTGATGAGGTTCACATACACTTCATTAACTGAGGATGGATCTTTTATTTCCGTTGTCCAACATTCAGTACCTTCCAATAGACGAGTGTCTCTGAACCTTTCCTTGTAAATGACCTTGTTATTGGAGTTGCCCACCAGTAGAAAAATCCAGTGATTTTTTCCAGCTGTGTTGTGTTCTTGTATGATTGTGCGATTTGTCATCTCAATGTAGATATGAAGGTCAGTACGTGACATATTTGTAGTAGTTTCTGTTCTCAGTTCAAAACGTGGAAGATGATCCACTTCAGCTTTCAGATTATCACCAGTGGGTGGGGGACGGTTCAGAATACTTTCAAGATCACGTGGATTAGATTCCCTAATGGACTGAAAACTGGTCTTGTTTGAGACTGCTAACATTGATGACAATGCTGCTCCAATTCCCTTTAACTGTCTTGACATATATGGAGAATTTTCCCACAGCTTGCAGTAGAAACATTTGGCAAGGGTGATGGCACTAACTAGTGCTTGATAATGAGGACGCTGGAGCAGGTACTGAACTAAAGCATTGGTCACCCGTTTCCCAATCCATGTTATTCGGAAAACATCCTGCTTCAAGGATGATTCATGGATTGGTAAACATCCGAGGAAGGCTTGAATAAGGCAATTGATTTTCATCTCTGTTGTCATGATTCTGGTGGGCAGTGGAAAGCGGATGCATTCATGATTGCGGGCCTTATTGAGCATGTTAAGGTTCTTCTTCTCGCTAACACGTAACTTCATCCCTGAAAACTCATGACAGGCTGCCACTAATTGCACTATCTCCTGCAAACTCTCATGTCCATCCACCTGCCAAAGTAGATTTCTTTGTGCAACTTCAAGATGTCCAAGTCAGTAACTTACCATTTACACAATATACGTAGCTCATTTTTGTTTTCAAATTGGAAACTGAATATTGAAACAGAAGTACAGTTGTGACAGGCAAGATCAGCAATATGTATGGTCATAATAAATTCACAGTTCTTTGTCAGGCTCGCATTATATCGTGACTCATCAGTTTTATGTAAGTCACTGTGATTCTGTTTTTGTGGTTCCAGTAAATGTTTTGTTGGGGCAGTGGTCTGTTTGTCGAAACATGGATCATAAATTCTTAGAACAGAGAATCAGGATTAGAGGTTTAGTGAAACTTCTGAAAGATTCCATTGACATGTACGAAATGTATGTGGCGGTAGAACACTAAGTAGATTTTGTGTGAGTTAAGAAGTTTAAGGGTGGTGCAGAAATCATTACAGTTTGGGAAAGATAAATGTTCAATAATTTCAAAAACTGATCAGAATGTGGAAGATGTTCCCATTTTACCTGAATATGAAGACACAACCAGCCTCTGATAGATCACACACAGTTTCCTTTTAGTGGCGAAAGAAAGTCCTTTTGTCTTTATATTGACAGTTTACAAGGCATGTCATGTCATTTTTATAAAAATGGGTTAAAAAAAATAGATGGAATTGAAATAAAATTTAAAAAAATTCAAATTTTAGAACATAATGAGGTATCACAGATTGACATAAGCTAAACTTGCAGCTACATACAAAACACTAAGCAGACTGATGTTTCTCTAGGCCTGAAAACCATACCTTGTGGAAAGTCTTCATGGTTCCTAAATTAAGGTAGAACCGTGCCATGAGGGCTCCATCTTTAGTGGGGTGCACATCCATTCGATGATCTATGGTAAGCAGCTTGGCGCTAGAAAGAGCGTTCAGCTCACGTTGGCACATTTCCTGCAGTTTACCCTCAATGCCTTTCTTGTTCAGACTGCATGGAATGCCATAGTGACTTGGGTTCTGCAGAGCGCGCACATACAGATATGTAGATCTGATCCATTCCATTGCATATCCGATGTCTGTGACCGTACGTAATACGACTTCAGAGTTGAGGTGCTCTGCTAGGTGTTGGTGCAGATTGCTCTCTATCAGGTCCTTACCACTCATCACCTTCTCGTAACGGGACCTAGGAAGCAGAAACATTTTTAATCTTTTGAGACTTGAAGTTCTCAGCATAGTGAGTATTAAGATTATGGTGCTGTGGATTGTAATGATGTGTAGACATTTATTCTACTGTGAAGTTTGAGGATCAGTTTCCTCCAAGTTGTTGGTACACATCTAGGAAACTACACAGTACCAGATGATGGAAAACTGTAATTTGATTTGTAATCTTTTATGATTTGTCAGCCCAAGTTTCTGACACTTTATAAATGTACATATAAGATTTGAGGTTATCAAAATGGTGACTGAAGAATACTATCTTCTGGAATGTGAAGTCATGAAGTTTAATAGGAATTAGCTTCTACCAGATGATATGGCATCCCAGAGGTCAGTACTATAACTCTCCGTAAGCTATGATGGTAAGCGACTGTGGATCAATGAAACATGCTTATTCCTTCTTGTATGGTCTTTGACACATAGGACTTGGAGTTGTTGCAGTAACCAAGAACTGATAAAAATCGTCCAAGCCTTTTCATTATGATGAAGGCAGAAAAGTTCTCCAAAACACTGGACTTTTGCTCCAAATTAACACTGGTAATCATATGAGAAGACTGTCAGTACGTTGCGGCAGACAGTGTCTGAAACATGGTGGGTACTTCACACTACAGACAGCTGATCATCTGACAAGCCTTAATAGCAGTAATTTTTAACACCTAAAAATAGTAACAATACCTGTGTGACTCCTTAGTCATAATGATCGCAACAGCGCTAGTATCAAACTGTGGTCTCCCTGCACGGCCAATCATTTGGAGAATCTGTGTGTCTGTGTAGTCCTTGTACGAACCACCGATGTACTGCTGTGTAGCCTTTATGATGACAAGATGTGCCGGTAAATTAACTCCCATAGCTAATGTACTTGTAGTCACAAGTACTGGTAGCATTCCCTCTCGGAACAGACCTTCCAGTGCCTGAGTAAGAACATAATGTCTTTACAGGATAGAGATTTACAAATTTTACTGGGTATAAATGCACATACACTGCCAAGGTGTTATCTGATGGAAGGAGAGCAACAAGAGACATATCTATGTTACATTATGTTAAAAGGAGCTTTGGATTCCACCTGGTGACATAAAATGTTTTTTATGTCGTTTGAGATTCTCAGTGTGTTGACTATGCAGATACTGTCCTCTGGGATGCGACACTGTGTAATATGGTGGGTGTGAATGTTTCAGAGGATTCTACTGCCTTCATTTTATGGTAGAAGAATAAATCATGAGAGGGATTAAATGGTTATTTGATACAAGGATTGGGTCTAAGAGTGAACCAATGGGAGTGATGTAAAATGAGTGGCCCAGAAGAGTAATCTTCATTCTTGGTGTCAGATGTGTGTTTTATTATGGTTGAAGTCAGTAGTTCCTAAATTATAGTGTGAAAATGAAGTTCCTCTAAGAAATTCCTTGGCTACATAATATAAAATACATGATAGCAGATACATGTTCACCTGTTTTGTCTTTTTGTTCAGGCCTTAGTCCTTTTTATTATTGTTTATTTTCAGCTGTATACTTCAGTTTAATTATAGTAATTACTGTTGTGGTGTCACATAATGATTGCTTTGTAAAAGGGTTTTTAAGTGATTGGTGTTCAAAACGTTGATAATTCCAGAGAATGACCTTAAAAGCTGGCAGAATTCCAACCTTCCAGGTTAATTAAGTGCACTACATATATATTACATGAAAACATCAAATTTTATACTAAAAGTACAATATCATGTTATCAACTGTCATTTGCGAATTAAGTTTCATGGTTCAGTTAGTTACCTGCCTGTCCTCCTTCCCCATACCAGCATGATGATACCCCACACCTGCCATCACACACTCTTTAAGCTTGTTGTCATTGAGGGCAATAGCAACCTCAGAAATCCTCTCTTTCTGTTCTGCACTAAAACTGAATGTGATCTGCTGTGTGAGAGTGCTGCATGTATGTTCAACGCCTTTTCTCGTACTGCAGAATATAAGCGTGGGCTTGCCATCAGCATACTTGAACAGAATGGTGCGTAGTTTATAGCTCAGGGACATTTCAAAGTGAAATTGGGAGGCCCCAGCTAGATGTGGATAACACAGAACAATTTTTTGCAGTTTAACTGGTCGCATGTCGTCATTAATTTTGTAGAATCTGGCAGGGTAATCAGGCGACTCACCCAGCCAGCATGCTATGTCTTCAGTGTTTGGAATGGTTGCTGAAACGGCCAGGAAACGTATTCCAGACAACTGTGGACAGGAAGGTATCTCTCAGTTCAGATGTCATATTTTCTTTTGTTATTCAAGTAACCTGAATATGAGGATTTCATGACAGAATTTTGTATTTACTGGTTTTACGCCTTCAAGTTTTTAATTTTTTATGTAACAACAACCAAATAACAAAATTAACATCAAGAATTATGTCCATTACCAAATCCCAAGACATTGATTTGTAATATTCTGAAGCCTGATGAAAGTTTATGGGAGACCAAGATTTAGGGTTCTCATGGCAAAAATGTTAACATCACAATCTTCTGTGATACTATGTTGCATAGTTTGGCAGGTGAGTACCAATGTTGTTGTGCCTTTATCTGAAGCAGGTGGCTCCTACAGAGCTAGCCCAGAGAGGAGACACACAACAGACTGAAAGCAGCCACAGGATGAAAGTGGAGGCGGTACATGTGTTCAAAATGCTGGTGGACTTTACCAGACTTCATGGTGTTATGTCTCATAAAATAATTCTTACTGCATTGTATCTGTTTATGTAGTTGCTTTTAACCAATGAAATGCACATTTGGAGGCATGTCTCAGTGTAATCATACCAATGTGTCTGGGTCACTTTGATTCTGTTTTTGCCACTGTGTCGCGCCAATAGCCCCCTGTACCGTCTTCATACGACTCACTACTGCTTCCAGAGTTGGTCCACGCTCTTCTTCGTTCAAGAGATGAACCTAGGGACACATGAGAGCAAGTAGAGTGAACAGGGTTTGCCAAGTCTTAACCTCTTTATTTATACTTCATTCCATGGGCCAAAACATGAATACAATTTGTTCTTAGGCCCTCTTTATAAACCTGTATGGGTTTTGTTGGATTTGGGGTCCTCATAATGATGACTAGGATGTGATGTGTAATCAAGTACAAGTTCACCGAGTTTGAAGGAATGTACTGCTACTGTCTGCTCTGGTTGCTACTTAGGTCTTGCTAGTCATTTGCTTGCACCTTGTGATCTCTCAAGTCATTTCATTGCTACAGTAATGTTTAGTTTTGTGGGAGTGACCTCATCACAGTTCCAGTGCTTTTATACTTAGGGAAAGAATGGGGAAAGAATTTACTTAGACCCAACCCACATATGCAACACCAAAAACTAGCAGTTTTCCAAGTTTTCATCCTAAAATTAACAAATTTTGCATTCATGCTTGTCTGCTATTTTTCTAAAGTTTCCAAGCTACGGAGTACAATACACAAGTGGATACTGGGAATTTCTTTGTGTAACATTATTTCTTTATAAGCGCTGGGATAGCATAGTTGGTGTAGCGACTGGCTACAGGCTGGACAACCGAGGCGTTGGAGTTTGAGTTCCGCTAAGGTCGAGAATTTTCTCTTCTCCACGTCATCCAGACCGGCACTGGGATCCACCCAACCTCTTATTCAATGGGTACTGGGGGATCTTTCCCAGGGGATAAAGCGGCCGGGGTGTGAAGCTGACCTCTCACCTCCAGCTAGTGCCGAGGTCAAGAAAAATGTGAATATATACATCCATTATTTAGTTGAGCACAGGGACAGCTTTACCTTACCTTTTACATTATTTAATCTTAAAAATACACACAGACTATACTTTAAAGATTACATTATGTTTAGCTTTTGCTTTCATCATTTACCCACGTCATGTGGTGGGGTTACAGAATGAGTATATATATACAGTCAGCAAGTCTCCACACATCATTCCAACATATATACTACTTGGTTACACCTGACAGGAGCAGGGCTAGCTGAGTTGATGTAGTGGCTAGGCTACAAGCTGGATGACTAAGGAAATGGTGAGGGATTTTTCTCTTCTTCACAGCCTCCAGATCAATCATGGGCTCCATCCAGCCTCATATCAGCTGGGTACCACAGTTTCTCCATCTAATGCCAAGGTTACAAATGTATGGAGTTGAATTTACACTTCCCCTTTTGTCTTCATAGTGCGATGCTTAATTAGACACAAGAATAACTTAAGCTCATACATATCAGATGCTAATATCAAACTAAAGCAGAACTTCTGTTATGGGTTGAATATACATTTCACATCATAATTTCATACCTCATCAATAAGGAATAATTTGACCATCTGTACTATTCCTTTATTGTTTTTCCATTTTCTGGTAAGGGAGTCCCATTTTTCTGGTGTAGTGAGGATCAGGTGGTAAGACAAGAGACTATCAAGGTCATATTCGTCTGTGTCACCTGTGTATTCTTTGCAACTCAAACCAAGTGATAAGAACTTTGATCTCCAGTCTTGAAATCTCTCTGAACACAAGGCTTTCACTGGTGCCACTGTAATGACCAAGTGCAGTAATCAATTGAAATCTACATGCTGTAAGGATTTAGAATGTGATCTTCTGGTTTATGACACCATGTGGTCTGTGGTGGTTACCAGTGTTTCAGGGGACCAAACCAGGATCACTTCCCCACCTCCCATTCCTGGCTAATCCTCCTGCTATTCATGGCCAGGTCACCCAACCCTTCCTATTAAACTTGCACATGTATCAAATTAGTTTAGTTCTGTCCCGGTGATAGGCACAGTATTTCCATTCAAAATCTTGGTAACATTGCCAGCAGACTACATCACATCCCAGAAGAACACAGTTTCTTAAGACAGATTAGCCTGAAAATGGAGAGACCAGTTTCCTTTGAAATGTTGGTAACTATCTGCCACACTATATGATGTTACATTCTAGAAGATATGTGCCCTGAAGATATAGGCAGCAGGTTTGTCCAAAATGCTGGCAGTGAAACTGCATGGTATCATATTCCAGAAAACTATGGTTTTTCACGACAGTTTTATTCATGACCTACATGTAAGTATAGAGAACTGAAATACAATTTCAACATTTTAATTACAATTTAATATGAGGTTTTAATTATGACATATTTGTAGAGTTTATATTCATAATTATAAATGATGATTACTTACTGTACACAATTTTGTATTGTCCTGCATATTCCATTTCTTCTAATTTGGTCAGCAACCTTATGATTGCCAACTCAAAGATAACTGTTTTCCCTGACCCAGTGGGAGCGGACACTACTACTGATGCATCTGTAAACAAATGAAATATACATGTATATGTTACTCATGCTACACTGAGGCCATAGAAAACAGTCCCATGGATTGAATCCCCCCACATATCTCCCATCAGCTGTCATGCTTTTCCCACCAATGTACTTTCTTCTTTCCCTCCTTAGGCCAAAGAGGTCTGGAGGGGAACACAGCAGGATGCCTTGGGCACCACCATCATCATAATCCATGGTATCTGTTTCTGTGGCCCAAGTACAGAATTTTCTTTTACCATTTTGACTCCTCTCATAATATGATACAGTTAAATCCTGTAATTTTGGTAATTATATATAAGGGTGTAATCTTATGCATAATAAAATTGTAATTACATTGAAGTGTATGATTTTTTTTTCATACCTGAATACAGAACATCATTCAATACTTTTGACTGTATAGCATTGAAACATGGGTATGAAGCAAAAATGTGTTGATATTTTGTAGCTGTAATAAGTTAAAGAAGTGAATGTAAAATTTTATTTTCTTGGCGATTGATGATTTCTTAGTTGTCTTCCTCTCATCAAGGATTGCTGTTCCATGGGCCACAGCTACCCATCATGTGCTACCAGCTGTAGTGTGTGATTCTTTACAAAATTGCTATAGTGCTAGGTTGTGCATTGTGTATTATTTCATTATGAAGAGTGAAGAAATGCATTTATGTTTGAAGGCAGGCATAAGTAAGCATCTGATTTTGTATGCTTCCATGGAGGGAAGTATGTGTCTTCCTAACTTCTTTTAAAAGCAGTGGGATGTGACATCATATATCCTGGAATTTGGTTACCAGCTTTTCTCCATCCAAGGAACTTGTGTCTCTATATTCTACCCTTAAGATGGAGGAAGCAGTTTTCTTAAATATGTTGGGAACCATCTACCAGACTATGTGACAACATGACAACATGTCCCACAACACCTCAGTCTTAATATTCACTACTGTGAGAACATCAGATCTCAACTTTCTTATTTTCTGACACAGCCCATTTTGCTTTTGAAATTAGAGGTTGTTAATTTTGTGATGAACACTTCAAATAAAAGTATATTCCGTCCTTTATTGAACGTAATTTCAATTTCATAAGATGCAGCTTGTTCAAAGATTCCAGGATATTTCAACACTTCCTGTAAATAAATTCCTAACCTCTTGAATGTACAAAGGGATATAATAATTTAGGAAAATCTGAACTGAAATCTGTGGGATAATGATTTCAGTGGATGTATGACTATTAAATGGAGCAGTGTTGAATAAAACTGTTGTGAAATATGGCAGTTTAAGTGCTGTTGAATTACTGTGCATAGATTAATGTGTCACATAAAGGATACGTATTTCAAAAATAGAACACAAGCCATTATCTCTTCTTTCTGACAATTCCATGGGGTTGTGGACACAGTTTCCAGTTAGAATGTCTGTAGCTACAGGTGATGAACTGAGGGACATTGGTTCAGACATAACACTGCCTTCCTCTTCATAATTGATAATTGTTTGATTTGGTGCATTCTGTTCAAAATATTTATGTAAATCACTTTGATAATCAGTAACGTTGTCAGTTGATAGGAAAATCTTGCTCATATCTGCCACAGAATACATATTTGTCTTCTTGTTTAATAATAATTATTGTGACAAGTACCATAGCTCCTTAAATTCCGTTTACAAGTAATGCCTACCGTCATTTGAAGCGACCGCCATACTTCATCGCAAATATAAAACTGACCCAATCGGGAACCAGTCATTTTAAACGGAACTTTTGAGATATTTGGTCGAACTGAAAAGCAATAGGAATAAAATATGTACAAAGGTGTGTTTTATATATGTTTAAGCCTTAATTGTGTAGAAAATATATGGTAACATAAATTTAATGAATTATTTAATTAATAATTCGCTGAAGGGATTTTAAGATATGGGGTATTGTATGTTGGTAGTTCTGGTAAGTGGTTGGTCGGGTGGCAGGGTTGTCTGTGGCCGTACCGGTTAATAGAGATCAAAATGGCGATCTGGTGTTAGGTTAGAATATTAGAATGTCAGGAGATAATTTTATTGAGAACATTTTATAAAGCAAAATAGTTTCAGCAAAGAGATTGTGTCCCTGTGCTTTACACTTCTTTTCGCCTCTGATTGTAAGTGATTCGTGATATCCCAAATATGAGTAGTGATGTCCACGGGAGCAGTGACCATGTTATATTGGTCACAGGTGGATATGATCACACAATTAAGATGTGGCAGGCTCATACTGGAGTTTGTCAGCGAACAGCACAGCACACTGATTCCGTATCCTTAACATTAACTGGTAGCGCATTACAAATACCACATCCGTACCGCAGTTCACGTATGTAGTGATAGAGGTGGTTGTAAAGGAGAGAGATTCATGTTTAGTTCGAAATCCCAGTACGTTTTTATCTTAAATATGTCAGCAGAAAAGCTGAAGAGAATAAGGCAGGGCTGGAGTTCAGTGACATATCTAGCATTTTGACTAATTGATGACTAATTTGTTACCAAAAAAAAAGTAGCCTTATTAGCGTTTGCAGATTTATCAATGACAGATGTAAGCTAATAGGAGGAAAGAGTTAGAAATATAAATTAAATTTTTTACAGTGATATTGCAGAAAGAACTCTTAAAAGCTTATTTTGTAGTAAATGGAGGAGTTAGATAGAGGAATGCACTAGTGAAGAGATAAAAAAGAAATATAAAGGGAGGGACTATGTCTGCTCAAGGTATGATGTGCCCTCAGAGTTGTTATAGGCAGAGTATGTGTATATATTTGTTTGAAGCATGTGAGAAGGGTTGTTATAGGCAGAGTATGTGTATATATTTGTTTGAAACATGTGAGAACATCTATGAAGTTCCTTGACGCAGAAAAGCAAGTGAATGCATTGGATATTACACCAGACAAACAACTCATTGCTGCTGCAGGTAAGGAACTGTTAAGTAATGTGTACTTAGCATTTTCTTATTTAATAGTATTGCTCCTCATTCTGTCTGTATGCATGCAGTTTTCTGAAAACTGAGTTTTAAATTGAATTTATTTACATTCTATAAATCCTAAGCAGGTTAGTACCTTTGGATACAGAACAAGTCAAAAGGTTACATACATAAGTACAGGCAATTTTAGCTTAAAAATTAATATAACTTAATTTTACATCATTCTCTATTTACATTGAAGTATTCATCTAAAGAGTAGAAGGAATGAGCATGTAGATAATTCTTTAACTCTGATTTAAACTTTTTAGTATCATTGCCCAAGTTTTTAATACTTTGTGGCAGATTGTTGAACACTTTTATGCCAGTAAAGTAGACTCCTTTTTGATATACTGATAAAGTTGATGAGGGTAGGTGGAAGTTATGTCTTTGTCTAGTATTCATGTTATAGACATCAGAATTTAATTTGAATTTATCTTTGTTGTAAACAACAAATAGGAGAAGCGATAATATGTATAGCGATTGATGAAGATAAAATGAGAGGCCAATGTATTCAATGTTTGGATGGTGGTATGACACTGTAATCTGGTAAGTAATATTCACATTTACATCCGTGAAAACCTCAGATGTTGTTTACTTGTGTCTCTCTTTTTTCAGGGTATCAGCATATTCGTATGTATGACCTTAGTTCAAGCAATCCAAATCCTGTTATCAACTATGAAGGAGTGTCAAAGAATGTGACTGGGGTTGGTTTCCAGGAAGAGGGGAAGTGGATGTACACAGGAGGGGAGGACTGCAGTGCAAGGATATGGGACCTCAGGTACCGTGCTGCTAGGCATGGCCTTTGTAAGTGCGGTAGAGCCGAGGATATTGCATGGATCTTGGCGGCTGATGTCTCATTTATGGTTTATTTAACGATGTCAGGAGCTCACTGTATGTAGCACTGAAAGACAGGATGATTAATGAATAGTTAATCAGGAGAGATATGCAAGGAAACAGTTGTGGCAGAGTCTGAGGTACTGTCCTGTCATTTATCTGGAGATATTGAGGTAAAATATGAAAAATTCCATTCTAGACAGCCAGCCTGCAGGCTAAGATTTGAAACCAGGGCTTCCTGAATATTTATATTGTTGATTTTTTTCTCATGTTTATTGTACAGATCAAGGAACTTGCAATGCCAACGAATTTTCCAAGTGTCTGCACCAGTGAACTGTGTCTGTCTGCACCCAAACCAAGCAGAGCTGGTGGTGGGCGACCAGAGTGGTGTGATTCATCTGTGGGATCTCAAGACAGATCACAATGAACAGCTGGTGAGGCACTGTCTGGGCAATGTTTTGGGTGGAATGACGCAAATTGATGTAGCCAAAGATAATTGTCTTCTTCCTCCTCCTCCTTTCATCTATTGCAACTTTCTGTTTCTTGCCCCATCAGGCCTCCCTCCTGCAGCAGGTTCAGTACATCCTCAAATATTCGAGTTGCCAAGAAAGTGATCAGGGACTGGACTAACAGAAATCACAAAAAAACACTGGGAATCAAACAAATTAAACAGATCAATTAAGATAGATGGTAGGATTACTTACTGGACACTGCCACCTGAAAGGGCACCTTTCCAAACTGCGACTGACAGAGGACCCAACCTGTGAAAGGTGCCTACAAGAAAACGAATCAGCCACACATATCCTATGTGATTGCAAGGCTAGAGCTTATCTAAGATATGACCACCTGGGTCAGTTATTCATGGAACCAAGTGACTTTTATGACACCCCCATAAATAATGTCCTACATTTCATTTGAAGTGTAGGATTCATAAAGGCTTAAACCAAAAGGGAAGCACAATAGATCATTGGAGGTCGCGGTGTGAGGGCTGGATTTATGGCCCACCCCTCATACTCATTCTCATACTCATACTCACACTCACACTTATGCCCTCAAATAATTGCTTTCATTAAGTTACGTTAAATATTCATCTCCCAAAGAAGTTTAAAGTTTGAATAAAAATTGTGGTTCTTATTTGTATATATTTGTCTGCATCTGAGTCCACATTTAAGGGTTTCCCACTGGAAATTCCTGGTACTCATTTCTGTTAGAGGCTGAGTGAACCCCAGGGCCATAGTGTGGCCGGAAGGATTAGGTCAATTGAAAAAAATCCAATGACCTCATCGGTGTTTGAACCCGCGACCTTCTGACTTGTATCATAGTACCTGTGCTGTGCTGTGCTGTACGTGTGGTGTGCTAATTATTATTGTTTAATTCTCCAGATGCCTGAGGCCGAAGCATCTATCCAGGACATAGCAATGGACCCAGAAGGGTCTTACATGGCAGCAGTGAACAATCGTGGCCATTGTTATATCTGGAGCCTTATGGGAGGGGTGGCAGAGGAGCCCACCAAACTCAACCCGAAACATAAAATTGAGGCTCACCAGCGATACGCACTGAAGTGCAAGTTCAGTCCAGACTCCACGTAAGTAACTGCTCAATTCAATCTTTCATGATGGGCATGAATTGAATGCACATAGGGGAGAGTGTGTCTGCCTGCATGCTTAACCTCAGGAACTGCTGCATGGATTTTGATGAAATTTGATTCTAGAGGTGCTTACAAAAGTTGTAGGGTCTTTCAGTTTTCATTGAGATCATACGAGTCCAGCTTCATAAGGAATAAATGCAACAGCAAGGAACGAGTATGTAGAACGTCAAGGTGCAATGACTGCACATGGAAACTGTGTGGTGTGGGTTGCAGCTGCACAGCCTTGATATTTCTTTTAACTTCACAGGAGTGAGTTGGTGTGGAAGCATATTTCCTTCCAGTTCATAAATGTAATGCTGTGTTCAGAGACCTCAGGATTTTACTTCTGAGACCTTGTAACAGTATGAAAGTGGATCCTAAAGGAATGTAGTGTGAGGTGTATTGGATTTATCTGGTTTAGGATAGGGTCCAGTTGTGGGTTCTTGAGAGCATGATAATGTACCTTCAGGTTTCATGAAAAGATGTAATTTCTTGAGAAATTAAGCAACTATAAGCTTCTCAAGAAACAGTATGTTCCATGTTGTTTGTTATGTGTTTGTATGTTGATTGCAAAAAGATGATGTTGAGCATGATTTATCACAGTTTTTATTGCATATTTTTCTGTTTTCTCCCTTCGACAAACTGTGGTCTCAGGTATTATATAGCTGTAGTTACACTGACATGGGTTGTCCAGTGACTGAGGTTAGCCCTTTCTAAGGGACCCAACAGAATGAGTCCCATCCCTCATATGAGGACAGAAACAAATTCAGTTTCCAAAATGTGTTCCCTAAACCAGAAGATGGACAAGGTCCAAAAAGCCAGTAATTCGAAAGATGTTATTTACTTATGTAACGACATTTTCTGTTATTTATTTATGGTTTATTTAACAATATTATGACATGATGGGTGAAAGGCAGAATGGTGGGGCCAGAGCAGATGTCCATTGCTGAACAGTGGATTGGAAATTGTGTTCCTGCAACAACGAATACGCTTGTATAAATCAAAGCATTGTCACAAGACTGACACATATTTCGTGGCAACAGATAAAACGGAGAATAACAGAGGACAATTAACTGTTTGACGTGGTGACTTCTATTTGGACCGCATGACAGTTATAGAAGGGAGTTCATTTGTGAATTCAGGAGGGTAGAGATCCATCCGAGATTAGATTAGAAATTCAGACAAGGGTCAAGAGATGTATTCTTAAGAGAATTCAGAAGGCAATTCAACAGTTGAAGTGTCAGCGAAATAAGATTCGATACCAAGCAGCGACTAAGCAAGCAGATGTTGAAGACTTTATTTTCTGTGTTATAGTTACAGTGATCTTCAGAATGGTATAAGTAGTTGTAGTTATGACATGTATTCTTCTAATCCAAAACCCATTATTTTTATTATCAGTCACACTAACGCCTTCATGACAATATTATCAGTAACACAGCATAATGTGTCAAATGATAGGATGATTATTGAACACTGAGTTGGAAGGGATATGGAGAGAGGTGCTTGTCTCCTTATTTTGAAGTACAATCCCAGAATTTCCATGGAGGAACTGAGGAAGACCATGAAAAAATGTCAGTCCAGTTAGTCTGTGTCTGAGACTAGATTTGAGCTTGGGAGCTCCTGAATATAAACAGGAATGCTACTGGCTTGACTGCAGCAATCAGTGGCATCCCCTGTTCCAGTTTGCTAGTGACTACGTCTGCTGATCAGACAGCTCGTATATGGAAGACCTCAGATTTCACACTACTGCAGGAGCTGAAGCACGAGGCACAGCGCTGGGTGTGGGACGCAGCTTTCAGTGCAGACTCACAGTACATCCTGACAGGTAATCTTATTTCTTTCTACTTCATATTTCACTCCAGACATGAAAAACTGGTTTGTAGTTGATTCAGATTTTATTTGAAGCAGGTTGCACTGTTTATTTAGGTGTTTGTTTTATGTATAATTTTTTAGGGTAACCATGTCCTCAGTGGTTTATTTTACAATGCTGTCAGTAGTTAGAATACACAATGTCAAGCGGTAGGATTATTGATGAATTGGAAAGGATTTAGAAGGAAGTAGTCATGGCCTAAATGAGTTACTGCACTGATTTTTGCCTGGAGAGGATGAGCAAGGCCACAGAAAATCTGGGTCATGACAGCTGGTGTCCCAGCTGAGAGGTGACAGTATTAGTGAAGTATGTATCTGTGCCCTACTCAGGCTATGGACAGAAGCTTATGAAATGTCATGTTGCCTCTAGGTTGGTAGGCATCGTGCTGTATGCATAAGATAATTAAACTTTTGCTTCTTTGTATCTATAGGTGTGTTTTACAAACTGTTTTTGCTTTCATCTCAGTATGTGGTTATATTGACTGCCTCTGTGGTCTAGTGGTCAGAGTTCCTGGCTACAGATCCAGAGGTCCTGGGTTTGATTCCCAGTGCTACCAGATTTTCTGAGAAGTAGTGGGTCTGGAAAGGGGTACACTAAGCCTCGTGAGGATAATTGAGGATCTATTTGAGGGAAATAGCAGCTCGGGTCTAGAAAACCGAGATTAACAACCATGGGGATCCATTGCGCTGACCACGTGACACACTCTATTTGCAAAAGTTGACACTAACTTTGCTGACAAGCAGCAGTCGCTTGGTCGGTATAGTTCGCTTGCGGACTACAAGCCACAGAGTTTTTTCATGTGGTTATGTTTTCTGTTTTTGTCTGAAACTGGCACATAGTAATTGCTACATTGTTCTTACTCATGTGTAGCGTCATCTGATGGAGTTGCCCGTCTCTGGAATGTGGAAACTGGAGCTGTTGAAAGAGAATACAATGGCCATCAGAAGGCTGTCACTTCACTAGCATTTAGGGATGAGATAGTTCGAGATTGAAGTCATATATATATATATATGGATGTTTGCTGTATGCATTGGATGATCATTGCAGGAAGCGAATTGTGCGGTTGAAAGGCGTGTGTTGTGTACGTAAGTGAGACATACACTCCAAACACATCATTTTAACCCTTTAAAGCACAGTGGTTACTATATGTACCACCTTCTTTAAACATTAAAAAATTCTGTGTTTTGCTTATGCAGTGTGTTTATGTGTTTTGCACATTTCTCACAATAAACAATGGTTATTTCCCTAAGCAGCATTGACCAGCTGGTGGTTGTAATTGAGATATATAGTTCGTTGGGTTTGAGGTTTTCACAGTGGTGGCTCTGAAGAGCACTATTGTCTTGTGGGATGTAATCCTGTGCAGTTTGGTAGCATGTCATGATTTTTCAGAGGAATGTACTGCCACCATCTTCAGGGTTAAAGGATAAGCCAAGTAAGTTTTTTGCAGATTCCTTTCATAGCGTTATCCTTTTACCCTGAAGATGGAGTCAGTGTATTCCTCTGAATTACTGTTGGAATTCTACCAGATATTGCAGTATTACATCTGAAAATGTAGAACTCTTTATTAAGATGTATGTTTTTTGTGAGGCATTTATAGAATTTTTATATAATATTTAGATGACCTTTGAACTTCAAAGGGTTAAGATGAAACAATGGCCGCCAGTCTCTCTGTATTCCTGGAAAGTATATAATAGAAACTTTCAGAATCATTTATTATGTAAAAGGTTTGTAAATTGCTATTTAAAAGCTGAGAGTTGTAAGAGTGTAGTGTCTATATATATGATGCTCTTAAGTCATGGAACAAAATTACAAGTTTTTTGAAGGATTACAGAATAAAGTAACTATATAGATACTCCTCATTAATGCAAGTTCAAAAAATGCAGTTTCATTTTAATGTGCTCGACTAATTTGAAGTAATACCATGGCATGTGGTAGCGTAGTTGGTTGAGGAACTATGCTACAAGCCGGAAGGTCGCGGGTTCAAGTCCCAATGAGGTCACTGGATTTTTTCAGTTGACCTGATCCTTCCAGCCATACTGTGGCCCTGGGGTTGACTCAGCCTCTAACAGAAATGAGTACCAGGAATATTCTTAGAATATTCTTGGGGTAAAGGTCGGCTGGTGCATAAGGCTAACAACCTTGCCACCATCTATGAGCCGATTGTCTAGAAAATGAGGGATCCTCAACGTCTCACAACCCTATGGGCCTCCACAGCCTGTTACAGGGATACCTTTACTTACTTTACTTTGAAGTAATACCACTTCCTTCAGTGTGAGTTTCTTTGCTAGGCAGTTGAGGGGGGAGAGGAAGGGGAGTGGGGTATTATGTGGGTGGTGGAAGGAGAGAGGAGAAAATACGTATGTTTGATTTACACAATCTCACACTCTGTGACTTTTCTTTTTAACATAGCTATGACATAAATGAAGTTAAATTTACTTGAATGTTAGATACAATATTTGTTCTTCATCTGGGATGGAGAGAGGGTTATGATTTGTTAGTATTATAATTTCCATTTACACTCTGGTCTCCCAAATGGCCGCTTTATTTTAGGTTTTTTAAATAAAAATTTGATACATGGTTATCCAATTCTTGCCATCTCACCTCGTACCCTGCTTGTCTCAACCACCACATTTGTTTGACCTAATATTTGATGAAGAATACAGATTATGAAGCTTCTAATTATGTAATTTTCTTCTTTGTTCCCGAATATCCTCAGCCTCCACTATCTACTGCATTCTGCATACTGTACCTCTTCCGTGTAACAGTTTGTGGGGCTTCTGAAGTGTTGTAAATTATTTTTTGAGAAGTATGGGAACTGCAGTACTTAGACTGTTGGAGCACAGTGATAATATCTTGTGGTTTAACAATGAAAAACTAAAGTTTGCTGATGGTGTATTTATGTGTTTCTGAATAAAAAGCAATCATTTCCCTAAAAACTTTTACCTGTTGGTCTTTGTGTTGGAGATGCTGTGTCTTTTCTGTGAGGTAGTAACTGGATTTGTAAATATTATGAGGCATCAGCATTTCAGGATAATATGTCATCAGCTAGGTTATGACACCATGAAGTCTCTTAGATGGGTACTGATGTTTTGGAGGAAGACGTTGCGGCCTCCTAGAGATTAAGGATCTTGTCTTTGAAGTGTCTGCTGTCCCATACTATCATCATTGCAAATGAAGCCACAGAACATTGCATCATGGCATTTATTAATGACAACTTATAAAAAGTTTCAACTTAACACAGAGGGCAACAATGAACGCCGATATTACAAATTCACATAATTTTCTTTTCATAAATGAAAGACATTGCCAATATAACAATGGACCAGTTTTACTTTTGTGGCCTGCTTTTGTCACCACATATAAGGCCAGTATCATCACATGATTTACATGACTGCATGTATTTGTAGCTATGTAACAAAACTTATTAGAAAATATATAAAAAAAAGATCCAATATTGGTACAAAAAATAACTTACCAACACACAGACATACATTACAAACGTGTCTCTACAAAGAAAACATATAGGATTTCCATTTCCTGTGAACGTGAGAACAACATTTATCGTTTACTTCATCACAACATATACTTTGCACATTTCTGTGGTACCAGACTGCCTTGCACATTGGTAGACTATGCAGCCAGTCTGCTGCCCTTCATAAGAGTAATCTTGCGAATTCTGAAACAGAATGATTAATTTTTGTATATTCAACATTCAGCCTCCTCGTGCAAGAGTCAAAGGAAATCACAGATGTTAGGATTATGCCTTATGAATGTGTTAATCTTTACACTGTCTGATTTGACACTAGACATTCACCCAGATGTAGGGGACTTTTGTGGTAAGTGGGGTGCGACATGCTTCCATTGGACCTGGGCCTCAGATTGTGCTGCCCTGATGGTAGGTGAGCGTGAAATGATCGTTGCCAGGAAAAAGTGAAGTGCTCTGTGAGGAACCTGCCCAGTGCCAATTCATGCATCACAAATTCTGGGTTACCAACCCTGGGATTGAATCTGGGGCTCCTACTGAAATAAGTGTCATGTCTTAACAATTTCATGTTTGTATTTCAACTGTGTGTCCTTTTGGTATTTTTTCATGGGTTACGGATTTATGACCCTGAATATTCCTGATAAATATTAGGTACAGTGAGGCCTCAGAAAGATGAGCTGCCCCACATCTTGCACTATTACGTTGCCTTAAGTACTCTGGTCAGTTTGTTCTCATGAATGCTGGTATTGCTAACCTTTGCTAGCAGTGAGTGCTTTGGGCTGGTTGACATAGGCCAGAGGGGGGGATATATGAAGGGCACTCCATATATAATGCCTCCTATTTTTTGTGTTAATCTGTAACATCTGAGCTGGATGTTGGTGTTGTTGTAAAGGTTGAGCCTTCCCGCCAATGTACTGTTGGTTTGGTTGTCGTGTGATATATATATAGTGACAGCAGAGCAGTCTACCAAAATGGCGTCTGACATAGAAGTGTGTACGAAACAGAGATGTGTTATTGAATTTCTCACTGCCAAACAAATTGCAGCCATTGACATCCATCGACACTTGCTAAAGGTGTACGGAGATGATACAGTGGATGTCAGCACAGTGAGGCGGTGGGTAGTGCGTTTCAACAGTGGCGAAAGTGAAGTGCATGACAAGCCACACCCTGGGCGTCTCTGCTCAGCTGCCACTCCTCACAATGAACAGCGCCTTGATCAGCTCATCCATACAGATCGGTGAATAACGACCAGGGAACTCTGTGCATGGTTTAATATTGGCTGTAATGCATTGGAAATGATGGTGGGGAAGCTGGATTATCGCAAAGTTTGTTCCAGGTGGGTGCCGAGGATGCTTACACAGGACCACAAAACTCATTGAATGAGGTCTGTTAGGACCTGTTGCGCCAGTCTGAGGCTGAAGGTGACAAATTTCTGGACAGCATTGTGACCGGAGATGAGATTTGGTATCACCACTATGAGCCGGAATCCAAAAGACAGTTCATGGAGTGGCGACATCCGGATTCTCCAAGAAAAAAGAAGTTCAAAACACAGCCATCGGCAAGGAATGTGATGTGCATGGTCTTTTTGGATAGGCGGGGTGTGATTTTGTTAGATTTCCTGGAGCCTGGTGAGACTGTCAATTCTGAATGCTACAGGACGACGCTGACTAAGCTGGTAGCCTGCATTTCCTGAGTCGGGCCAGAGAAGCAGACAATCTTTCACTTGCAACATGATAACACTAGACCCCATACCAGTTTGCGACCACCACGCACATTGCAAAGTTTGGCTGGACTGTCCTACCACATCCACCTTACAGCCCCGATTTAGCACCTTCAGACTTCCATCTCTTTCGGCCTATGAAAGATGGACTACGTGGGCAACATTTTCCAGACAGTGATGCTGTCATTGCAGCTGTAAGAAAGTGGCTTGCATCTGCTGGCGCAGACTTTTACAAGCACAGCATACAGGCGCTTGTTCATTGCTGGTAAAAGTGCATAATGAATGGTGGTGATTATGTGGAAAAATTACTGTAAGTAGCTGAAATCTCGTTCTATTTAACTGTGTTATTGTGCTTTCTGTATCTGTTGTAGTTTTCATTAAAAAAAATAGGCATTATATATGGAATGCTCCTCATAGTATTTTTCAAAAGTAAGGACTATGTAAATCACATATTTTCAAGTCTCTGATTTAATCAGTTGCAGTTCTCTTGTGTAACTTTTATTCTGTGGATCATCGAGTTTCAGATGATATTGGAATCTGTCATGTCACTTTACTGTACTAACCTTCATAGTTTATCTTTCCATCATGATCAATATCAGCAATCGCCAACAGTTCATTCAATTGTACATCTGTTACACTCTCTCCAATCATGTCCATGGCTGTCTTCAGTTCATCCTGAAATGACATCACATCATATTAACCCTCTCAAGCATAAAGAGGCAGTGAAATAAGAATGTATAGCAGAAGAATTTGCAAAAGGAAAAGTCATTGGAGATGTGAGAGAGACTTTTATGTGAGTGGTGGGGGGTGAAAGAGCATTATTTTTCTAGAAGGTTTCCTGGCATTGTCCTTCTGATAAGAACAGCTTGAAAGTGAAGATGCTAGAATGGGTAGCAGTAGGTCGCGCTATAGCTCAAGTGGTTAGTTGCTGGCTTCTCACCGCGGCGGCCCGGGTTTGATCCTGGGTCTGGTCAAGTGGGGTTTGTGGTGGACAAAGTGGCACTGGGGTGGGTTTTCTCCGAGTACTTCGGTTTCCCTTGCCAATCTTCATTCCACCAAATTCTCCATCATAATTACCTGGGGCAGGCTACAATAGGTCAATCAGTGGCTGCCGTGCCAAGTGGACCCAATTGGACTCCACCCCCCACTAAGCAAATTAAAAAAAGGTTAGAAGTAGTGGCTTGAGACAGGGGTGGCTGAATTTTTATTTTCTAAATTAAGGTTGAATTGTATAATATGGAAAAATAATTAGTGGCTTTGACAGTTGAGTGATTTAGTTTTGATGAATTTAAGTTCAGTCATGTCAAAATAATAGTACAAATTTAGTTCCTCTGTTACAGGCTACACCCAACTGATTAGTCCTCTTTAGAGAAATAATTGCTTTTAATTGTGATATTCGTGTGAAACATATATACACTAAAAATATGATGAGTTTCTAATTGTTAAAAAATCTGGTGCTTTAAAAAGTAACACGTACCAAATTTATGGTTACAGTATCTCATCTTGACATTGCGGAAACTGCCTAGCAGTAGTCTGTTCTTCCAGAGCATACATAGGTCAAGTGATTTGAAAACTTAAAACACAAATTAATTATTTTATATCTTTTTTTACTCACAGAGGGCCTTTGATCTTGAAAATATTAACTGAACAGCTGAACAGTGTTTGGATGAGTGCATTTAGTATATCAGCCACTTCCTGGCACCCTCTTTTCATTACAGTAGCTTTTCTCCATGTACATCAAGTGGAAATACTTTTGAAGGGTGACTTCAGTTGTAGGATTCCCTCCGCTGACCTTCATTGTCATGAACATCCTAACACTGGGGGTGGGGGTAACTGAATCGGCCCTGTGAGCACCCCTACTACAGGCTAGGATGGAGGAGGGTCAGCATTGACTGTATCTGGGACACTGTACAAACGACATTTCTAAAAAGTCTGACCTGTAAATGTTTCATATTTTCAACTGTTAAGCATCTGGATTCTCGCTGTATAATGAAAAGTTGCATTGTTCAGAATCTGCCACTACTGTAAAGGGTGCAGTTAAGAAGGCCATCTTGTGTTTTTATACATTTCAGTCATACTGAACTTGAAATCAGGATGCATCTACTCCTTTTCTCAACTCACCTCTGGCTATTTCCAAGGTTAAGATTGGTGGACCTATACCTCCACTTCACCATACCTGTGTACGCAATGGTGCTTAATTAATTAAGAATAGGAACTTAGCCCTTTGCTATGAAGAATAGTAAGCCAATGTAAGATTACAGGTTTTCAGAAAAGTAAAAAAAAAAAAGTAAAGGTATCCCTGTAACAGGTCGTGAAGGCCCGTAGGGTTGTTAGATGTTGAGATTCCCACATTTTCTAGACAGTCAGCTCACAGATGGTGGTGAGGTCACCCTTATGCGCCGGCCGCCCTTTACCTTTACCTCCATCTTCAGAGCATAACTGGCCTGATAAGGATACTACGGGATTTAAAGTGACAAAATAAATATGAAAAAGTGTACCTTTGTTATGTATCCATTGCAGTCACGGTCAAATACACGGAAGGCAGCTATCAGGTCCTTTGTGATGTCATCTGCATCGTCTGCACTGGTGTCCTGGCTCAGAGCCTGGATACGGCTCACCCACTGCAGGAACTCTGTTTCGTCAATCAGGCCATTGCCTGCCACAGGAAGTGATGATTTCGTGTCACTGCTTTGAATAGCCCTCTTACAGAGAATGAAGTTTGAAATTGAGTGGTCAGCATTCCTGTTTCACAGTTTTCCTCAGTCCTTGCAGGCAGATGGTGGGGATATATGAAATTAGGCTTTCATATCCTTTCCAGTTCGTTATAACTCCATGGAGCAGGGTCTTTATGGAGAAGCCAGTAGTTGCATAGCTACTCCTGTGTGTTATAGAACACACAGATTTCTCTCCAAAGAGAATGAGAGTTCTTTCCTGCGGGGGGTAAAGCGGCCGGAGTGTGAAGCTGACCACTCATCTCAGTCTAGTTCTAAGGATGAGAATGCATTGTACTGTATGTCCCTTCAAGGTCAAGATGCTCAGCTAGAAATAACTTTGTGTTTGTAAGAATTGCATCATACATTTAATTAGGAGGGAAGGTAACAGGACTGAGCTGGCCCAATGTTTCAGCAGAATTGTGTGCAACAATGGCCATTTGTTCTTTGAGTCTCAGACTACTAGGACTGCATTCAGTGAGTTTATTGGGATCATGTTGTGGCATGTCAAGTTGCATTATACTAGTCATAATGGTAGCGCTCTTTGGTGTGTGTTCATGGATTCAGCTGGTTGTTCAGTTTATGGATGTGAGTCTGTGTTTCTCTGCCTTGTGTTATCCTGTGTAGGTACATAATCTGAGATTGGCTGATCCTGCTTCATGTATTAAATGTTCCTTGTTTGTATAATTAATTCTGAACTCTCACGATCGAATCCATGACAGCTTAAGAATAAGTTCTTGCCTTACCTGAATGGCTGGCCTCATTGATGAGGTCATTTATGAGTTCGTCTCGAACTTGAATGCCGAGGTTTTGCAGCATGAACTGCAGCTCACTTGCCGTCACCCTCCCATCTCTGTTCCTGTCCAGCAGTCCAAATGCTGTCCTCAAATCTGTGACAAAGGGGAACAACGATAAGTAACGTAAGGTGCCCTGAAAATTCAAATGGGCTGTGTCTTTAGTTGCTGCCTTTATGTCTTGCCCTCCGTTCTCGAGTATTCCGTTCATATAATTTTTTATTGTTCGCTTGTCATTCCTACCCCTTTCATCTTCATTTTAAAACAGTTAAGCCAAATATCTTACAGAACACATATTCGTACACAGCTCACTTCGATCTGCCCTATTGTTTGCTACAGACTGAAATGCAGTAAACGGCGTGTTAAGAGAGATCACTCTTGAATTTTGTTTCCATGGAATGGATCGAGAACATAACAAGCACTGCCCTCCTGTGACTAGTTATATTGCCATGTGTGTGTGGCTATAGACGGTGTTTTTGATTGGATACTGGATTTATTGGCCACTTGATACACAAAACTCGGAAATACAAGTAATTACAGCGCATCACTGATCTCCACACTTTATAAATTACCCCAGAACATGCTAAGTGCTTTCCAGCCTGCTGTATTTTCAGCAGCCGTTCCCTGGTATCGGCTTCTAACAGTGGAGATTTTTCAGCTTCTGTGCTCAAGTCCTCTCTGAATGGCGGTTCCCTTCAAACTGACCATTTTCTTCACAGATTCTTGTACAGAACTGACTTGGCTCACCAGTTGCCTTCCTTATAACTCCTCGGCATGGCCCGCGCAGACAACATCGTTCATTCTCGTACCTGTTGCTTCTGGAACATGTTTACAGGCCGTCTGTTCTTATTAAGATTCTGCTGCCCAGCAACGGACGTCGTTCCAGTGTCTGTTTCTGGACTGTTGTCTAGAAACGATTGTTGTTTCAGAGCCGTTCTATAGCAACGGCTGTTTCTCTGGCTCCACGGCTCTTGGCTTGGAACAAATATGCCACAATATAATTATAATGGCACTCCATAGAAAATAATGAAGCCTTCTATGGAGAATTAATAAAATTAACTGTGGAACACTTCTAATCTTGTAGCGAATTGAGATTGTTATGCTGTGTAATGAGGTAGACTTATATGACAAGATTGAATAGGATTACCCTATACAGATGAGTCAGATCCCGAATTATTGATTTCTTGGTGGTCAGAGCAGCAGCTGTTGCTGTCTGCATATGATGTTAACATTTTGATATTTTGTCTGTGTAAATTAATTGCTTCTGCTCTTTCAGTTTTCTTTCAGCAAAAGAAAATTTGTTTGGGAACTTTTGCTTAAAATTAATACGTTTATGCTCTGGTGCGCTTTTAGACTGCAAATTTACGTTTATTTCAGTGATAATATGTCAACTTTACTGAGAACGGTAGCCTCTTTAATGAATATTGTGTTAGTATCTGACATCATCACTCTTAGTGGAATAATAAGCCATCAAGTGAAGCAAATTTAGCAGACCAGCTCAAATTTGATAGAGCCTTTCATGTCTCGGCTCCTTGGGATCGTCCTCAGGAGCATGACAATAAAAGGAAATAGCTTTACACAAATAAGGCATCACATACTATAGTTTGATCTGCTCTACTAAATTGTTTCACTGGATGGCTTCAGTGACTCCTTAATGAATTGCATGTGAATGAGAGACAGAAGTCATGGCAGATTTCAGTTTCCGTTTTCTTTTAATGAAGATTCTTTACAAATTTTATTACTAGCATTGGAAAACTCTTTAAGCGTGCCAGGAAGTTATTCCTTGGAAAAGTCCTTGAGAAGCTGGATGGTGTCGTAGACGTTAAGGAAACTCCCCAGCCTCCTATTGAACCCGAATTTGTATCACTCTGCTCACAAGTACCCTCCTCTGGAACCTAACCTGAGCTGGATGTATTCATTCCACACCCTCGCACCCTGTTACTTAAGCTGCAGTTTAATGATATCCTTCAATCTACTCCTGCGACCTGCTAGATACCTCTTTCGCTTTTTCCATCGTAAATTCTGCAGCTATTTCTTCGTCCTTGATTTGATCACAATAACTATGAACTTAGACGCTGTCCCTGTCTTATGTAAAAATACGAAGTGTGGACTAAACGAAGGTGGCCGACTTGATGAGATGAAGACCTCGAGAACGTGCGTATCCGTGAAGCCCAAAATTCATCTACACAGTAAGACTTGGCACATACATTCTCATACGCGGCTGACCTTTACTACCCTAACTTGGAAACTATAAGTTATTGCTTTCCGATAGACCATTGTTGGCTTATGAATACCGAACAACGCTTAAATCCTTTCGACTGGTAAAGCCCGTTCCGACAAAATCGACATTGCTTTTGCGCCTATAGTATGGTTACCTTTATTTTCTTGAAGATACTGCCTGTGGAGCTTCGCTTAAGGACATGGTCTCCATAAGTTACTGAAATTTAGTTGAAATAAATAGAGCTGTTTCAGAGAAACTTGCCATTTTGTTTTTGATGCCCAAGTGTTATGGGGCGAGAATGTTAATATTCTTGGATAGTCTGTTAAATACAGAAGGTGTATGAAATCCGGCCAATCGTTAGGGCGCCAGCAAGACGCAGAACCGGTTAATGTTGTTTAGGGAAATAATCGCTGTTTATTGTGAGAACCATACGGAACACATAAATACACTGTGTGGGCAGAATGCAGAGTTCAGTTCGTACCTCACAGGAAACTCATTACGTCTCCGCTACAAAGCCCAACCGGTTAATGCTGTTTATTGTGAGAACCATATGGAACACATAAATACACTGTGTGGGCAGAATACAGAGTTCAGTTCGCACCTCACATAAACACATTACGTCTCAACTACAAAGCCCAACCGGTCAATGCTGTTTATTGTGAGAACCATACAGAACACATAAATGCCCTGTCGGTAAAATGCTTTTTTAAATGCTAAAGCAGGTGGTATGTATACGTACGACTGCCTTGAATCCCTAAACTTTTTGGTTAAATGTTTGTTTGTGGTCTAGTGGTCAGCGTTCCTGACTACAGATCCAGAGGTCCGGGTTCAATTCCCGGCGCTACCAGATTGTTTTCGGGAAGTAGTGGGTCTGGAGCGGGGTCCACTCAGCCTCGTGATGATAATTGAGGAGCTATTTGAAGGAAATAGCGGCTCCGGTCTAGAGAACCGAAATTAACCGCCGTGAGGATTCGTTGCGCTGACCACGGGACACCCTCTGTCAGCAAAATTGGCACTAAACTTCGCCGACAAGTGGTGGTCGTTCGGTCGGTATAGTTCGCGTGCGGACTAAAATCACGGAGTTTTTGTTTGTTAGAGATTCGACCATGTCATGTAATATGAAGTAAGCAGGGAAGATGGCCGAGCTCCGGGGTTCTCATGTAAGAAGCCGAAGTTGCTTCGATCGATTGTTGGGTGAGTTTTCTTGCGACCCGAGACAGTCAGGAGATAACACCTGGATTGGGCAAACGTTTGCGGTCGAGATCTTTGGAAGCAGTTCCAGAGACCCAGCGACCATCCGGCTTGTAGCATAGTGCCTCAAACAACTACGCTATCCCGTGCCCCCCCCCCACAGTGTCCTGAGGTTTTCTTTTGTGATTTTCCTCAGTTCCTGTAGGCATCCAAGCAAGTTTGCTTAAGCCATAACACTTCGGGCATGTTGGGAGGTACTCTTTTCGACTCTCGACAAAGCCACTGATAGTTTTGACCGACTTTTCCTGGATTTCATGAGTCTCTTTGGACAAATGCCTGGATGGTACCTTAAATCGGGTAACATCCGCTTTCCTGTCACATCTTTTCCATTTTATTACTGTCATCAAATCATTCGGCGCTCTTAGTCTGAGCTTATTACAGCGTCATTGAATAAACGAGAAAGAAATCCTTCAGGAAAATTCCGCGATAGTAAGGGACCGAGACCGCTGCGTTCCATTTGCAGATTCATCTTCAAAAACCGCCCTACGATTCAACGTAATGCAGTTTTAAAACCCGTCTTTAATAAAACAATATATATGTATAAACCTGTAGACATTATTAGAGCTTCTCTGATGGGGGATCGGTCTATCATATTGTCTTTACCTGCAGACGACGTTACTGAAAACGAAGGTCCCCAAGCGGTGTTTGAACCCGCGATCGCAGTTTTAGGGGTTGTAAGATGTAAATAGACGCTATATAACATATTTTTTTTTCCTGTGGCGCTACAGCCCCAATTTGGGCCTAGGCCTACCTCCATGAAACTCTCCGTTTCACTTCGGTTTACTAGATCTTACACATACGGTAGGACTCCTTGGGCGAGTGATCAGCTCGTCGCAAGGCCTCTACCTGTAGACAAACACAGAAAAACGCACACAAACATCCATGCCCTGAGTGGGATTCGAACCCACGATCCCGGCTTCCGAGCGAGCGAAGACAGTGCACGCCTTAGACCGCTTGACTACTGTGACCGGCATATAACATAATTAGAGGGCGTGAATTCAACTGGCTCAGGGCTCTGCCCAGTGGTGGGTCATTGTGTACATGGTAATGAAATTTCAGGTTCCATAAAGGTTGGAGGAATTACTTTACCAGCTGAGCGACTGTTAACTTCTCAAGAAGGACTCTGCTCCAAGTTGGAATCCGTCCAATGGCGTCTCCTGCTGCCTCAAGGTCGGACGCTGTGTGCACTGTTCGTGCCACGTAGGTAGGGAGAAGCGAAAATTGTACTGGGGCGGATTGTGGGGGAGGTGAAGGCCACACGAACTTGTCTACTTCGCCGATAAGAAGTGATGGGCGCCTTGCATGAACCTTTTATCGACCCGCGTAAGACCTTCATGCAATTTCCAGCGTTGTTCTTTACCAATTATTGACTTGATGTTTACGAATTGTTTTCATTATGACCTACTTTTTTATTGCTAGTGGGGTGGGACTAAGTCCCTTGTACTGCGGCCACTTCTGGCGTATTGTACCAGCCCCAGATGATAAGTAAGGGTGATTGTGGAGCAATTGGTGGGGAAAGCGAAGTACTCGGAGAAAACCTGCCCCAGCGCCATTTTGTTCACCACAAATCCCACTCGACCAGACCCGGGATCGAACCCGGGCCGCCGCGGTGGGAAGTCAGCGA